TGTCTAAGTCTCTGTCCTTGTTCACAAGCAGGGTATCGAGCCAGCAAACCAGATGCGCTCTCCAAGCTGGAACGAGGGGAAGAGCCGTGGGCAGTACAGCGTGGATGCCACTGTCCAGTCTCTCCAGGTGAGCGGGGAGAATCAGCAAGGCGGGCGGCCGGGAAGTCACATTCCGGTCAGAGGCGGCGTCAGAGCTGTGACAGTGAATGAGGAAACTCAAACCTCCCCTCCACGTATGAGAGCGCTTTTACTTTGTAGAAGTTTAGGGGAAAATAAACCCTTCTTTTATTGTCTGATAAAAAAGCTTATTTTATATTCCTCTTGTTTTTGTTTGCATAGTTTTCTTCCTCCAGGGATCCTCAGATCTTCCTCCTTTTTGTTTACGGTCATGGTGTCTCTGCCTGTGTTAGCACCCCTCTTGCTATGAAATCCTACTTTCCAGGCCTCTCCGGAAAGACAGGACTTGGAATTCATCGTTTTTTTCTTGCTACTGGGCCTTCGTGCCCTGGATGGAAATAGTGATTTCCCTCTGTAACATCCAGTCCACCTTGGATGCTGTGTCCCTGCGATAACCTGTTCTTCGCGGCTCATTCATGTCGTTCTTCACTCCTCTGACTCCAAGGTTCTTAATTTTCAGTTCTCCTCACTCTTTTTTTTTTTTTTATTAAAGATATTTTATTGATTTTCCACAGAGAGGAAGGGAGAGAGATAGAGAGTCAGAAACATCGATGAGAGAGAAACATCGACCAGCTGCCTCCTGCACATCCCCCAGTGGGGACGTGCCCGCAACCCAGGTACATGCCCTTGACCGGAATCGAACCTGGGACCCTTCAGTCCGCAGGCCGACGCTCTATCCATTGAGCCAAACTGGTTTTGGCAGTTCTCCTCACTCTTAAGATTTCCTCTATTCGCATGAGTGAACCTCTTTCTGTTCTGTGACATGGACTCCCAAATGGACTTCTCCCTTAATATTGTCTAATGCACACTTTCTTTTTCTTTTTTTTAAAATATATTTTATTGATTTTTTACAGAGAGGACGGGAGAGAGATAGAGAGTTAGAAACATCGATGAGAGAGAAACATCGATCGGCTGCCTCCTGCACACCTCCTACTGGGGATGTGCCCGAAATCAAGGTACACACTCTTGACCAGAATCAAACCTGGGACCTTTCAGTTCCTAGGCCAACGCTCTATCCACTGAGCCAAACCGGTTTCGGCTACACTTTCTTTTTGTGTACTTTACTCATCATCATGGAGGCTGGTCTCTGATTTCCCATTTTGTGAGAGAGCAGAAATCATCTTCCCTTTAATCCGCTTTTTTTTTTATTGTTGTTGTTAATCCTCACCTGAGGATATTTTTCCATTGGTTTTCAGAGATAGAGGAAGAGAGGGGGAGAAACAGAAGGAAACATCGATGTCAGAGAGACACGTTGATTGATTGCCTCCCACACAAACCCCAACCAGGGCTGGAGTTCTCGAGCCTGCAACTGAGACAAGTGCCTGTGACCAGAACTGAACCTGGGATCCTCCAGTTCCTAGGCCGACTCTCTAACCACTGAGCCAAACTGGCAAAGGTCCCTTTATTCCTTTTTACATTTAATTTCCCTTTGAGCTCTAGATATTTTAAATTCTATCCATCCTGGCATCACCTGGGATGTTCCCTACTTTCTGAGCTCCCTTCTTAAAGGTCTCTACTCCTTCATTTGATGAACCAAAAAGTATCTGAACATCCTATGTGAGTTTCAGCCCAAACTAGGTCATAACTTATGTCTGCTTCAAGTGACTTCCCCTTTAATTTTCCTAACTCAGATTTTTCTTTATTCTTCGATGTTATCACTGCATTTTTATTTTCCTAAAACTTTTGTTTGTTCATCATATTTCAAGTGGTTTTACTTAGATTTAATTCACATACCATGTAATAAACCCATTTAAAATATACAGGCAGCCCGGCCCCCATGGCTCAGTGGCTGAGTGTGAACCTATGAACCAGGAGATCATGGTTCGATTCCTGGTCAGGGCATGTGCCCCGTTGTGATCCCCAGTGTGGGGTGTGCAGAAGGCAGTCGATCAATGAGTCTCATCATTGATGTTTCTGTTTCTCTCTCTCTCTCTCTCTCTCCCTTCCTCTCTGAAATCAATAAAAAATGTATTTAAATACTTAAAAAAATATATATAGTCAGCCCTGGCTGGGTTGCTCAGTTAGTTGGAGCATCACCCTATACATCGAAAAAGGTAGAGGGATAGATCCGCGGTTGGGGCACATATTGGAAACAACCAATCAATGTTTCTCACATTTATTTTTTTTCTTTCTCTCTTAAATCAATGAAACCATATCCTCAGATGAGAATTAGAAAAAAAAACTGCAGGAGCATATATATATATATATATATAGAGAGAGAGAGAGAGAGAGAGAGAGAGAGAGATAGAGATAGAGAGATATGTCTTATATCTATATAGTTAACTAGTTTTTAATCTATTCACATAGTTGGAGATGGTTATCACCACAATCGGTTTTGGAACACTTTATATATTCTAATCGTGACCTTGATTCCTACAGCTTTGTAGTAATTATGGAAATTGCAAAGAATGAATTCTCCAACTCTGTTCTCTTTCAAGACACTTTTAACATCTGGATCCTTTAATTTCCATTGGAATATCTGAATCAGCTTCTAAACTTCTGCAAAACAAAACCCAACTAGTATTTTGATAGGGATTACATTAATTCTGTATCTGAGTTGGGTAGTAATTTTATCTTAAGCATATTTTGTATCCTAATCAGGGTAATTGGTTGGTTTTTTAAATCTAATTTGATCTTTAATTTCTTCCCACAACATTTCGTAAGTCTCAGAATAAAGGTTTGACACTTGCCTTTCTTAAATTTGTTCCTATGTATAATATTCTTTGTTATTATGTAGTAAATGGAATTGTTTTCTTTATATATCTGTATATATAATTATTATTTTTTTAATATATTTTATTGATTTTTTATAGAGAGGAAGGGAGAAGGAGAGAGAGAGGAGAGAGAATCATTAACCAGCTACCGCCTGCATGCCCCCCACTGGGGATTGAGCGCACAACCCAGGCATGTGCCCTTGACTAGAATCAAACCTGGGACCCTTCAGTCCTTAGGCCGAGGCTCTTTCCACTGAGCCAGACTGGCTAGGGCTAGAATTGTTTTCTTTTTCTTTTAATATATATTTTATTGATTTTTTACAGAGAGGAAGGAAGAGAGATAGAGAGTTAGAAACATCGATGAGAGAGAAACATCGATCAGCTGCCTCCTGCACATCTCCCACTGGGGATGTGCCCACAACCCAGGTACATGCCCTTCACTTGAATTGAACCTGGGACCTTTCAGTCCGCAGGCCGACGCTCTATCAACTGAGCCAAACCAGTCAGGGCTATCTGGACTTTTTAAAGCCCAACATTTCTACCCAAAATCCTGGAATATAGACAATAAATCTAGTTTTTCTCATCTTTGAGAAAGAGAAAACACTAGGAATTAGGTCAGGGGTCCTCAAACTGTGGCCTGTGAACCACATGCAAATACAAATATTGTATTTGTTCCCATTTTGTTTTTTTACTTCAAAAAAAGATATGTGCAGCGTGCATAGGAATTTGTTCACAGTTTTTTTAAAAAAACTACAGTCCTGCCAACCAACAGTCTGAGGGACAGTGAACTGGTTCCCTGTTTAAAAAGTTTGAGGACCCCTGATAGGTGGTAGATTTGATAGGTAAAGGGGTCTCATAAGAAACTCCACTCCTATAAACCTATATATTGTACTACATCAGGGAAGGGCTAGTGAGAGAGATGTAGAAACATCAATAGTAGAAAATCATTGATTGGCTGCCTTCTGCACGCCCACTACTGAGGATCAAGCTCACCACCCTGGCATGTACCCTGACCAGGAATCAAACTATGACATCTTGGTTCATAGGTCAACACTCAACCACTGAGCCAAGCCAGCTGGGCAATAGGCTATAATCTTTTTTTGTTTGTTTATTCCTCAATTTTTATTTTTTATTTTTTTGTGTGCAGTCACTTCTTTTTTGTGTGTATTATTTATTGCTAAAGTATTACAAAGAGTATTACATATGTCTCCTTTTTTTCCCCGCCCTTGACAATCCCCTGGCCTCCCCAGTGTCTTATGTCCATTGGTTAGGCTTATATACATGCATACAAGTCCTTCAGTTCATCTCTTACCTCCCCGCTCCTGCCCACCAACCCTCCCGGCCTTCCCGCTGTAATGTGACAGTCTGTTCGAGGCAGCTCTGCCTCTATTTTTGTTCATAAGTCTATAATGGTCTTTATTATCCATAAATGAGTGAGATCATGTGGTATTTTTCCTTCATTGACTGGCTTATTTCACTTAGCATAATGCTCTCCAGTTCCATCCATGCTGTTGCAAATGGTAAGAGTTCCTTCTTTTTTACAGCAGCATAGTATTCCATCGTGTAGATGTACCACAGTTTTCTAATCCATTCATCTACTGTAGGCTATAATCTTGATTAGAAAGTTTCTGTTCTTTTTCTGCACACTCTTTAATGTGTCCCATACCTGTGATTGTTTCCTGCAATTGATGTGATTGCTCTTTTTTTTTAAAGCTTGCATTCTTTTTTATTTTTTTAAATATATATTTTTACTGACTTCAGAGAAGAAGGGAGAGGGAGAGAGAGTTAGAAACATCATTGAGAGAGAATCACTGATCAGCTGCCTCCTGTCATGTCCCCTACTGGGGATCGAGCTGGCAATCCAGGCATGTGCCCTTGTCCAAAATCGAACCCAAGACCCCTCAGTTCGCAAGCCAATGCTCTATCCACTGAGCCAGACCAGCTAGTGCTAATGCTTGCATTCTGATAGCATTATACTTTTGAACCTAAGAGTACTACAAGAAAAGATAGAAATAAACAGACCTTATCCTTACTCTCCATGTTGCTTTTATTCTCAGTAGAAGTACTATATATCCAGTAATTAACATATATCTTAGGTAAAAATTGCTCTAAGGGAAATTAATACACTCGGTGATACAATGGGTGTTTATCCAGATCTGAGCTTTAGCAGTGGGAATGGCTCTTTGGCAAGGTGCCTTTAAGCACGTAGATGAGGGATATGAGCCAGGAATATGGAGTTTTCCAAATGTGAGACAAAGGGAAGTTTAAAGAGTTGATTCTGGAATGTGTTTGTGGAACTTCCTGGAAATTCGTCTTCATAGACTATAATGAGCAAGAGGGAAAATGACTGGAAATAAAGACAATGGGGTGGCAGCTGGAGGTTTTGAGATATTGGTCATTTAAGACCTTGCTTTCATTCCAAATGAGTTGAGAAACCAGTGTGGACTTTTGGTAGAGGAGTGACATTATTTAACTAATGCTTAAAATGGACCGCTTTGCCTGTGGTGTGGCAGGTAGGCATTATCAGGGGGAAGAGTGTCCTGTTATACTTATGGTTACAATTTCTTTTTTCTGGTTAGAATTTTTGATGGTAAAGCAATAGAGATCAAAATGATCAAAGGTAAAAGGTGCATAGGGAATAATGCAGGAGTCACAGGAAAAGGGCTAAATTGTCTGACCTAATTTGGGGAGCCGTTTAAAAGTATCTAAAGTTGCCCTGGCTGGTTTGCACCTACCTAGTCAATCAAGCCACATAATTCCTGGACTAATGTTTGAGTCCTCACTTTCTTTACCTCTTCTTCCTTCTCCCATTGAGCCAATCAGTGAACCTTGTCTTTTTTTTATTTATTTTTATTTTAAAAATATATATTTTTATTGATTTCAGAGAAGAAGGGAAAGGGAAAAAGAGAGAAACATCAGTGATCAGAGAGAATCATGGATTAATTGCCTGCTGCATGCCCCCTACTGGGGATCGAGCCCGCAGCGTGGGCATGAACCCTTGACCGGAATAAAACCCAGGACCCTTCAGTCTGCATGCCGATGGTCTGTCCACTGAGCCAGTCCAGCTAAGGCATTGTCTTCTCTTTAAATACACGGTAGGCAAAAGTGGGTGTACAGTGGTGACTAAGCGAAACACAGAGTTTATTCTTATATTATTATTGTAGAATAGTGTTTCATTTCACGTAGGAACAACTGTAAACCTACTTTTGCTCCACCCTGTAAATCCTGATTTCACCCACCTCCCCCATCTCCATTGATCCTTTCACCATGTCACACAGACTATGATTGCCTTCGTTACTTTGCTTCATGTGTCTATACCTAGAATTATTAAACCCGGGTTTCCTACAAATTGAACTCAGTTCTGACACTATCTACCTAGAAATGGGATCAGACACTACAAGTTATGACTTCCGTGCCATACAACAAGTCCCACTTCAGATGTCAGTGGCAAGTCCATTTTGTCACCTGTGCTTCTGACCAACTGGCTATAAATTGGAGGTGTTATGAGTCCCATCCTTGGATTAAATTAATTTGCTAGAGCAGCTCACAGAACTCTGAGAAATACTTATGTTTAGTGGATTTTTTAATAAAAGATACGGATGAATAGGTACATGGGACAAGGTTTGAAATATTTCTGAATTCAGGAGGTCCTGTCTTTATTGAGCTAAGGTGAACCAACCACCCAGTGGGCACAAGGATATACATGGATCCCATCCTAGGATTAAATTAATTTGCTAGAGCAGTTCACAGAACTCTGAGAAATACTTATGTTTAGTGGATTTTTTAATAAAAGATACGGATGAATAGGTACATGGGACAAGGTTTGAAATATTTCTGAATTCAGGAGGTCCTGTCTTTATTGAGCTAAGGTGAACCAACCACCCAGTGGGCACAAGGATATATTCACTAACCCAGAAAGTGATCTAGTTAAGAATTTTCATAGAGCCTTAATCTCTAGGCCTTTTCTCCTTCCTAAGAGGTCAGTTAGTAGGGCTGGAAGTCCAACCATTAAATCACTTGGTCTTTCTAGTGACTAACTCTATCCTGAGAGTATGTAGGAGCCCTGTGCTCTCATCTCATTAGCATAAACTCAGCTTTTTTATTGTATAACAAAAGATACTTTTGTCGCTTAGGAATTTATAGTGGTTTCACAACCTCAGTGTGAAGAACTATGCATAAAGATCAAATATATTTTTTATTTTATATCATATAGGATTGTCATTAAATTGTTACTTCTCATGCTGGCTTTTTACAAAACAGTTTTATTTCAAACAAGGATTGTGAGGGATTCCAGAATGAATCCCTGTTCTCTTCTGTCCTAGAACTCAGGAAGGTGGATGATCTTCTGCAGCATCACTTGCAAATCCAAAACCTTCAGAAGAGTGTGGACCGAGGCTGTGAACATAGTATGTTAGCAGATATTGTTAATCAGAGTGAAGATCATTCTCTATTCAAGCAAAATTGCAATGATATGTTTGAGATAAGTGAAAAACCTTTAAAATCAAATGAAAATTTTGAAAGCCAAAATAGAAGCTGTAACTTAAAGAATTCTGTGGAGTTGAAGGGAGATGGAATATGTATTCGTCATGCTAACCATGAACAATTTTACACTGAAATCATGTTGCCAGTTAGTACCAAACTAATTAATAATCAATCCTGGTTCATTCAGCAACAGAACACTCACAATGTAGAGAAAGCCCATGTGTGCATTGGAAGTGGGAAAGCCTTTATGAAGGTGTCTCAGCTCACTGATCATCAGAGAGTTCATACTAGACAGAAATTTTATGGGTGCAGTCTGTGTGGGAAGGACTTTCTCAGGAAATCCAGGCTCACTAAACATCAGAAAATACACACGGGACTCAAACAGTATGAATGTACTGAATGTGACAAAACCTTCCTCAAGACATCCCAGTTCAAAAGACATCAGAAAATGCACATGAAAGAGAAACCTTATATGTGTAGTGAATGTGGAAAAGCATTCATCAAAAAGTCTCGGCTCATTTATCATCATCGAACTCATACAGGAGAGAAACCCCATGGGTGCAGTCTATGTGGGAAGACCTTCTCTACAAAATTTAGTCTCACTGTACATCAGAAAACCCATACAGGAGAGAAACCTTATACATGCCCTGAATGTGGAAAAGGCTTCATTGAGAAGAGTCGTCTTATTGCACATCAGCGAACTCATACAGGAGAGAAACCCCATGGTTGCAATCTGTGTGGAAAAACCTTCTCTACAAAGTGTAATCTCACTACACATCAGAGAACTCACACAGGAGAAAAGCCTTTTTTATGCAGTGAATGTGGGAAAGGCTTCTCAATGAAGCATTGTCTAATTGGACATCAGCGAACGCATTCTAGAGAGAAACCCTATGTATGTGTTGTGTGTGAAAAAGCCTTCACCATGAAGCGTGATCTCACTGTACATCAGCAAAGTCATACTTCAGATAAACCATATATGTGCAATGAATGTGGAAAGGGTTTTATTGTGAAGAGTCGTCTGATTGTACATCAGCGAATGCACACGGGAGAGAAACCCTATGTATGCAGTGAATGTGGAAAAGGCTTCCCTCAGGTGGGGTCCCTCGGCATGGTCAGTGATCAGGGTTGATCAGGGCTGCGGGAGGTTGGCTGTGGGAGCTCACTGACCACCAGGGCGCAGTCCTGCATTGAGCATCTACCCTCTGGTGGTCAGTGCACATCATAGCAACCGATCGTTCAGTTACTTAGGCTTTTCTATATAGAGAGGTTCTATGTGTACATGAGCAGAACTCATGCTACAGAGCAGCCCTACACACATGTAATAATTGTGGTGAAGGCTTTAGGACAGTGGTTCTCAACCTGTGGGTCACGACCCCTTTGGGAGTCGAACGACCCTTTCACAGGGGTCGCCTAAGACCACCGGAAAACACATATATAATTACATATTGTTTTTGTGATTAATCAGTATGCTTTAATTATGTTCAATTTGTAACAATGAAAATACATCCTGCATATCAGATATTTACATTATGACTCATAACAGTAGCAAAATTACAGTTATGAAGTAGCAACGAAATTAAGTTTATGGTTGGGGGTCACCACAACATGAGGAACTGTATTAAAGGGTCAAGGCATTAGGAAGGTTGAGAACCACTGCTTTAGAAGAAAGACATGCCTTGTAAAACATCAGAGTTTTCACTCAGGAAACACTTCCTTTGCATGTACTAAATGCACAAAATTCTCTTTTAGCAACAATGATCTCATCCATCAGAGAATTCACATGGGAGAGAAATCCTATGAATGTAATGAATGTGGTAAAACTTTCACTACAAACTCAGGATTCTATGTTCATCAAAGAAAACAAAGAGGCCCTAAGAGTGTAGCAATTGTGGGACAGCTTTTGACCACTTGTCAGTTGTTAAACATGAGATTTCATAGGTAGTTGCTTTGGGGTAAGCCTGTTGCCAGTTGTAGGCCTTCAAGAGGATAGTATGCAATGAAGAATAACTTGATGCAAAAAGAGAGATAGGGAAAAATGAATATGTTACTGCAAAGAATGTGGTACTGTCTTTCAAGGTCAATTACCTCGTATTTTATATGAAAAAACTTTTACAAAACAAGTGATACAATCAGCCTTGATGAAAATATTTTAGGACATTATATGTCTATAAAGGTTATCTTGACATAAATCCTATGAATGTGACAGTAGGAAATTCTTACTGGGAAGTACTCCCTATCATGATGAATGTGTGAATATTTCTCATTGTTTGAAAGCATCTGCCCCAAAGTAAGACCTCAATAGATGTCAGTTTACACTAGAGAAATACTTTTCTGTGGCAGTAACGTGGCATGGATTGCATAATTCATGTTGCCTTATTTGCCACAAATCCATGCAGAAATAACTCATGAACACATTCAATTTGGTGGTCTTTAGCAAATGAAGAAGCCTTGAATGAAAAAGCATTCTGTCATAAGTCTGAAGAAAAAATATACTTCACAAGCCATTGTGGACAGGATACCATCAGCAATATTTCTACTCACCTTGTCTTTGATTTTAAGTTTTAAACAGTGACAATTACTCTCATCATGAATAAAATTTTAATAAATACAACATTGGTGTGTTCTGTGTCTGTTTCATTATGTAATTAAATTTTGCACTTCTTTAGTCCTATGTTTGGGTTATTTCAGAATAACTGAAAATGAAATGAATATATTCATTTATAAGGATAACAACATATGGCATTTGACCAAGTTCATAAGTAACATAAAGTGGTTTATAAAATTAATATAAATGTCAGTTTTTATAACTTTAAATTTTGAAATAAATTTAGAATCACAAAAACTGAAATTTTCTTGAGATTTCCTGCATTCCTGTCATATAACTATCTACCCTTGGCCTGGCTGTGGTGGCTCGGTGGATTGAGCATCAGCCCATGGACCAAGAGGTCCTGGGTTCGATTTTCAGGGCACATGCCTGGGTTGCAGGCTTGATCCCCAGTAGGGGCATGCAGGAGGCAGCCAATCAATGAGTTTCTTATCATTGATCTTTCAATCTCCCCCTCTCCCTTCCTCTCTGAAATCAATAAAAAACAAAAAAGACCCACATGTAACTACTCTCAAAACTAAAACCTTACATAGTCACAGTTCATTCTCAAGTAAAGTGAAATTGTTACAGTGCTCTTAACTATAGGATTGATTTGTATCTCCAGTTTTATCACTCATTTTTATTTGGTTTTTATCACACATAGATTCTTGTAACCACAGCAAAATTCAGAAAATGTTGCTATCACAAACTCCCTCAGACTACCTTTTTCTTTTTTCCTTTCTTTTTAAAAATATATTTTATTGATTTTTTACAGAGGAATGGAGAGGGATAGAGAGTAGAAACATCGATCAGCTGCCTCCTGCACACCTCATACTGGTGATGTGCCCGCAACCAAGGTACATGCCATTGACCAAAATTGAACCTGGGACCTTTCAGTCTGCAGGTCGACGCTATCTTCACTGGGCCAAACCAGTTAGGGCTACCTTTTCTTTTAAATATGTTTTTATTGATTTCTGAGTGAGGAAGAGGGAGATAGAAGCATCAGTGATGAAAGAGAATCTTTGATAGGCTGCCTCCTATACCCCTACTGAGGATCGAGCCTGAAACACAGGCATATGACCTGACTGGAAATCGAGTCGTGACCTGGTTCATGGGTTGATGCTCAACCACTGTGCCACCCAGGCCCGGCTTCCTTTTCATAGTCACATCCTTGCCCTAACCCTAGTTTTTGGTGTCACAGTTCTCTTTTTACCTATAATTTTTGTCATTTCTGGAATATTAGCAAGATTGAGTCATTTAGCATGTATCCTTTGAGATAGGCTATTTGACCATGTGAGATATAGACAATACATACTGATCTCTGCCCCCGGTTCTTGGTACAAAGCACCTGGAACTGTTGTAAATTTCCAAGTTACAACAGGTAATAGGGTTTAGAAATAGAGTTCATGATCAATAATGCCTATTGAGGAAGGATTCATAAACCTTCCAATAGGAGGCTATTGAGAGATCTCCCAGGTGGGTGAATACATCTGAGTATGGGGAGGGTGGTGCACCCTAACTTCATGGGGACAGAAGGTCTCCCAGACCTCGCACAGTGTATCTCTATTTTCCTGTTCATCTGTAAACTCAATGATGGACCTTTATATGTGCATTTGTTATCACTGTCTCTTCGGTAAAAAGTCTGGTCACATTTCTGCCTAATCAATGGATGCTGGCATTTTTTTCATCAAAGGGACAGGGAAACAACAAAGATATATGTTGGAATTTCATTCATTTCGTGCCTTTTTTCTCTTTATGCAATAAGTTTTCTTTTAAAAAAATATATTTTATTGATTTTTTACAGCAAGGAAGGGAGAGGGATAGAGAGCCAGAAACATCGATGGGAGAGAAGCATCAATCAGCTGCCTCCTGCACACCCCCCACTGGGGATGTGCCCGCAACCAAGGTACATGCCCTTGACTGGAATCGAACCTGGGACCTTTCAGTCCGCAGGCTGACGCTCTATCCACTGAGCCAAACCGGCTGGGGCAATAAGTTTTCTTTATATTGGGATAGTTAGTTCTAATATTTTTTCAATTTTTCATGCTGTGCCCAAAGTAATGAACACTTGCTTTTTTTTGTAATCCCCAGCCTATGATTTCTTTTTCTGAACAGCTTTTATACACACAGGGGATGGAGCTCAGTCCTTCTTAGCTGCTGCCTTCCTCATGGCTGCAAGGACATTGCTCAGTTCCTCTCTCTTCCTCTTGGCACAGATGTGTGTCCCCACACTTTTTTAAAAAGGTAATATATTTCTTTATTGATTTCAGAGAGGAAGGGAGGAGAGAGAGAGAGAAATATCAATGATGAGAGAGAATGACTGATTGGCTGCCTCCTGCACACCCCCTACTGGGGATCAAGTCCGCAACCCAGGCATGTGCCGTGGGTCGGAATCGAACCTGGACCCTTCAGTCTGCAGGCTGAGGCTCCATCCACTGAGCCAAACCTATTAGGGCAGCTTTGAGATTTTTCACTTATTATTTTGCTCTTTGTATTTTACAATATTTTATAGTTGACTGAGAGAGATAGATTTTGCTATTCCAGCATTAATGAAATGAGAAAATGCCAACTGAGCTACACCAGCCAGAGCCAAAATTTATTTATTGTAATTGAAGTTCAAATTATAACTAAATTATAGAATTTCAATTAAAGTTTATATTATACATCTCAGTTGAAAGGCTGGTCCTACATTCTTTTGTTGTATTTGTCACATACATATTTGATGATGTAAGTAGGTTATTTATACGATAAATTATTCCAGACTGCAATGCAGGCATACCTCTTTTATTGTGAGTGGCTCTATTGGGCTCATAGATAATGTGTTTTCATTAACACAGACTCCAGTCCCTTCATAACAAAAAAAAATGACAACTGCCCTGGCCGGTTTTGCTCAGTGGATAGAGCATAGTCTGCAGACTGAAGGGTCGATTCTGGTCACGGGCACATGCCCGGGTTGTGGGCTCCATCCCCAGTAGGGGGAGTGAGTGAGGCAGCCAATTGTTGATTCTCTCTTGTCATTGATGTTTCTCTCCATCTCCCTTCCTCTCTAAAAATCAATTTTAAAAAAATGACAACTTTCTTTAGGCATTTTCAAGATGTCTCTTTCATAGGATATGACATTGCTTTCTTTTTTATCCTCATCTGAGGATATTTTAACATTGATTTTTAGAAAGCATGGAAGAGAGAGGGAAAAACAAAGAGAAACATCAGTGTGTGAGGGACACATGGATTGGTTGCTTCCTGCATGAGTCCTGACCTGGGACAGGCCAGGGAGGAACCTGCAACCTAGGTATCTGCCCTTGTCCGGAATCGAACCGGGACCCAGCGGTCCGCAGGCCGAGGCTCTATCCACTGTGTGAAACTGGCTAGGGCAGGAGATGCCATTTCTTAACCCCTCCTGCAGCGGACCTCCGTTTTTTTCCTCCTGCACTTGGATGGAAAAACCCTAGATCACCCGCTTGGATTCTTATTAGGCAAGTTACCACGATTGCCACGAGTGGCACCCGAGATTAGCCAATGAGCGGTCAGAAAAGGCGTTTCCTATGCAGCTTAGGCGCAGAGGCGGGACTTCCGGCGTCTTCCTCACTGCGGCCTATTTTCTCTCAGGAGAATCAGGCGCCAGGTCGCTGAGCCGGGGCGGAGAGACCCCCACGGAGAAGGCGGGAGAGTCGTGATCCTCACAGCACAAACAAGGATTTTAAACTCTGCCTCGATACCCCGCGGACCTGCGCCAGGGACGGGGCAAGAACCGCCCTTCCCGCAGCGGCTGCTGCTCCCGCCCCGAACCGCCCACAGAACGCAATGGCGGAGCCGGGGCTGAGCCGCGGGGCTGAGGTGAGTGCGTGTCCCCCGAGCCCCCGCCGCGTCCTCACACCGAACAGGGTGCGGGCGCCTGTCCCGTCCTGTAGCTCAGTCCCGCGCGGAGGACCGTGAGGAAGGTGGAGGGGAGAGAGGAGTGTTGTGGCTTCTGAGGACGCAGCAAGTGCAGGGCAGAGGGGACGGGGGTGACTTGCATCTGAAGGTCCCTGAGGATGTGGCTGTGAGTATTGACGAAAAGAGCAGAGGCTGCAGGGAGGACGGCACAGACTCATTCGGGGCTTTCCTGGCTGTGGGGTCCATCCGGGGCCTGGGGTGGTCCTGGATCCGGCTGGAAGACAAGCTCTCCACACGCCATATGCCAAGTTCATGGGTGAGTCCAGCGAGACCCAGTGGCATTGGAGCAGGAAGGGGGCAGAGCTGGGGAGTGAACCTGGGGTCTGAACATGGGAAGGGGATAAACATTACCCAGTGGTGTGCACATCTGGAGGAAGTGTGAGCTGATGGTCCCGGGACCTAGTGTGGGGACTTAAAGGCGAAGCATAAACCCAGGCTTGGCTTTGTTTTGGAGGCAGGATCTAGGAGACTGCACTGGTGTTGCTTGGCAGGAAGGCTGGGGCCCTGCAGGCATCGCCCAGACCTTAAATGGCATTGCTCTCTCCTCTCCTATCTCCCAATTCTTCGCACCCAACCGAGCTGTTCTTGCTGAGGGCAGTAATAGTGATTAATGGGACTTGACCAGAGATCAGCCAGCCTTAGAATTAGGCCCTGGAGGAGGTTGAGGGGGGGAAGGTGTGTAAGGGTTAGGAGTTCAGCTTTTCAGAAAAGAAAGCTCTGATTTCAATTCTCTTGATTCTGACAGGTTGGCGTGACCTTTGAGGACATTGCCCTGTACTTCTCCAGGGAGGAATGGAGCCTCCTAGATGAAGGTCAGAGACAGCTGTACCTGAATGTGATGCTGGAGAACTTTGAACTTCTATCCTCCCTGGGTAAGACCCTCACTCTCGCCAGTGACCTGGACTTGGTTTGCGATCTCCCAGGGTGTGCTCTGTCCTCCCATGTAGACTGTGGTACTGCTTGATTTTTCCAGTTTCCTGGATAGTTGCTGTCCTGGGGAGGGTTGGTCTGTTTCTGCTACTCCCTTCTATTCCTGAAGTCCCAATACTCCCGCTGCACTGAATTCACAGGGAAGGACTTGTGGTTGGTGGTGTTGCAGGAAGCCTAAGGTATTGCACCTTGATCAGTGAGGAAAGCATTTTCTGTATTCCTATTGGTCATTTGTACATATTTTTTGAAGAATTGTCTCTACTTCCTTATCCTGTTTATTAACTAGTTTTTGGTTAAAGAGTCTTTTGATTATCTTGTATATTTTATATATTAATTGCTTATTACACATAGGAACATGTGCCTAATTGTGCTTTGCAGATATTGCCCAACCCCCCTTCTCTTTTTTGCAAATTCCATGTTATTGGAAAACCTTCATTCAGCAGGTCTAGTGCCACCATTTTTCTAACATGCTCAAATGTTGGTTGCCAGTGTTTAGCAATCAAGTATATTTTAAGTTATATAGAGTTGTGGTTTTTTTTTGAGACAGTTACTGTGTTGTTACTAACCTGTAGTCTAGTGTTAACATATCTTTATTATTCACTGGGAACTCCAACTATTTGTGAATTTCTGTCTATATTGCAATATTCGTTTTAGTGTGCTGATCTGAACTCAATCCACAATATCTCCAAGTGATTCCTTAATAGGATTTGCGAGTATTTTCTCCCATCCTCTAGATTGCGTTTATTTCTTTTTTTAAAAGTTTTTAAAAAGTATTTTATTTTTCTACTTTTTAAAGTGTAACTTATATACAAAAAATTCACACATCTGAAGTGTTTAACAAGTTTTGACAGTTGTTTACACCTTTGTGACCACCACCAAAAATAAGATATAAAATATTACATCATCCTAGAAAGTTCCCATTTTCATTTTTTTAAACATTTTAAAAAAATTAAATCTTTATCGTTCAGATTATTACAGTTGTTCCTCTTTTTTCCCCCCATAGCTCCCTTCCACCCGGTTCCCACCCCACCCTCTGCCCTTACCCCTGCCACCCACTGTTCTCATCCATAGGTGTACAATTTTTGTCCAGTCTCTTCCCACACCCCCCACACCCCTTTCCCCCCCAAGAATAGTGAGTCCCTTCCCTTTCTATGTCCCTGATTCTATTATAATCACCCGTTCATTCTGTTCATCAGATTATTTATTCACTTGATTCTTGGATTCACTTGTTGATAGATGCATATTTGTTGTTCATAATTTGTATCTTTACCTTTTTCTTCTTCCTCTTCTTAAAAAGAGAGAGAGAGATGGGGTGAGGAGGAGGAGAGGAAAAAAAGGAAAGGGGGAAGGGC